CTCATGGACTGCATGAACAAGCTCAAAAACAACAAGGTACGTTGGCGTCCGCCCGGCAAACCTCTCCGCTTATTGGTTCTGGCCCAGCCTGTGCCTGGGGCTGACTCCGCCACCCCGTGGGACCCGCTGCGGGGATTGGGGGGTGGGAGGTGGGAGTCCTGCTCCCCTGCTGCCCTGCCCTGACCGCCGCGCCCGCAGGAGTACCTGGAGTTCCGGAAGGAGCGGAGCCAGATGCTGCTGTCCAGGAGGAACCAGATGCTTCTCGAGTTCAGCTTCTGGAACGAGCCGCAGCCCCGAGCAGGTCCCAACATCTACGAGCTGAGGACATACAAGCTCAAGCCAGGAACCATGATCGAGTGGGGCAACAACTGGGCTCGGGCCATCAAGTACGGACAAGAGAACCAGGAGGCGGTGGGCGGCTTCTTCTCACAGATAGGAGAGCTCTACGTGGTGCACCATCTCTGGGCCTACAAAGACCTGCAGTCTCCGGAAGAGACTAGAAATGCTGCTTGGAGGAAGAGGGGTTGGGACGAAAATGTCTACTACACAGTGCCCCTGGTGCGACACATGGAGTCTCGGATCATGATCCCTTCGAAAATCTCGCCTCTCCAGTGATGCTGCTGCTGCCGCCACCTCACTGCCCTTCTCCCTCGGGGCAGCCATGGACAGGGGCTCCCAGTCCAGCTGTCTTGGTTTTCTCTCTGATCTGGAAGGACTCTGGGGGCTAATGCTCAGTTCAGACAACGGGGAGCTGAGGATGACAGAGTTCTGAGGACTTTGCAGCTCTGCCTGCCCTGCCCATCCCTGCCCCTGTGCTGGAAGCAGTTTTTAATTTCTTTGAATGAAGAATAGCAACCTTTTATGTCTTCTCACATTCCTCCCCCCCACCCCAAAATTCCTCATCTCGGCCCCACCAGTCCCCAAGTATCACCAAGGAAAACAACAGTCTAGCTTTAGTTGTACAAAAGGTAGTGTGTCCAGTGGTTAGAGGTGGGAAGGGGTCAAAGCCGACCAGGCTCTCGGGGAAATTCCCTGGTCTCCACTGGCCATCCACTTGCTGGACAGTCCGACCCACGTCCCTCCTGCTGGGGAAAAGCTTAGAACTGCCTAGAATTGCAAGAAGTAAAGGAAAACCCTCAACTTAGCAAAGTCAGCAGGAGGTCCACCTCATGAACCCAGAAAGGCTGGGGAAATGGAGCTGGAAAGGATCTGGGGGCAGGAAACAGAATGGAACAGAACGAGAACCGGGAACCCAGAAGGTAGAACGTAGAATTCACAACCTGGGTTTGAACTGCAGAACTTGGAATACAGAATGGGGGACATAGCACCGAGGTGACGAGACCACCTGGGAGGGTTTCCTAATACAAGACAGCTGGAAAGAGGCGCATCGCTTAACCTCTACACCATGAGGTTGAAAACCTGAATGTGTCGTTGCAGCCGCCTGTGCAGGGAGTCTCCTGCCCTCCCTTTTCCTTCCTGTAGGCAGATACCGGGCCAGGGCCTGTGCTTTTCCTCACCCGGCATCCCTTTGCTCCAACCACATTTGATCACCTCAACCCTCATTCACCTGGGCCACTGGGTAGTGGAGATCACGGCCGGCCCTCCTCAGTGACCTCCACACCTCATGAACCTCTGGGTAGGTTGATTCTGCCTCCCTTTCAGGAAAACTTGCGCTGGAATTGCTGACGGAACCAATTAAATGTTTACTATAAAAAAAATCAACATACAACAAGTGTTGGAGAGGATGTGGAGAAAAAGGAACCCTTCTGCACTGCTGGTGGGAATGCAGACTGGTGCAGCCACTGTGGAGAACAGTATGGAGTTTCCTCAAAAAACCAAAAATGGAACCCCCATTTGACCCAGTAATATCTCTCCTAGGAATATATCCCAAGAAGCCAGAAACACCAATCAGAAAGGATATATGCACCCCTATGTTCATAGCAGCACAATTCACCATAG